TAAATAAATTTATAATAAATTGCAAAGTTGAGAAACGGCAATATATCATTTGTCGCAGCATGTGTGACACGTTAGGGAAACGGCGCAAACTTGCAAAGTGCGAACGATTCAATTAATCCTGACACTATTTATTATTATTAGGGTTAAGGCACAGAGGCGCAGAGCATGAAATACCAAAATGCATAAACAGAATCAACTGTAGGACACTTGTAGTGACTGAGAACTAGTCTGTGGCTCAGTTACGACTGCCCATGTAGTTGTTACATTAATTAGTAGAGCAGCCTGTTTTGGTTAGCGGCCCGTCCTGGACTCGTCCACTGGCATTATCATATTTATTAAGCAGCCGCATCGCCTGCAGCTTTGGATATGCCCGGGCATGGGATATGCTTTGCTGGGATCCGGTGCTGTCTGACTACCCGCGGCTATCACAACAACGAAAATTGATTGCTTCTGTTGTTGTGGCTGGCTTTGATCGTGTTAAGATAGCAGGCAGACGGCAGAAGGCCTTCCAGCCACCAGGCACCAGGAAAAAAAATAACATAAAAAAAAAATATATAGTATAATACTCCCAGAGCCTCAACTTGAGTTCTATAGAAAGTTTTATGCATAACTTTGGCTTGGACGCGCTATGGGCATCGTAAATATCTTTTACTGCCATCCTTCCTCAGTGGCTTTCAGTAGATTTCGCATTTTTGCATTGCACGCATTTTTGCCTTATTTTTGCCGCCGCACCTAGAGTAGGGTGTACCAACTGGGCTATTTTTGTGACAGATCATAAATCAAAAATCATACACGCTGCTGCATTTCAATATGCAACCACACACTGCACCACACAGGCAGGTGGGACGGCGACTTGCAGGTGTTTGCTCCAAATGAATAAATGTCGTTTTCTTTCTTCCTTTTATTTTTAATTTTGCGCGCGCGCGATTGTAAATTAAGTTCGGCCCCAGTTTTGACTGACAATCGAACCGACGTGACTGCAACTGGAACTCCAATTGCCTACCCTGTACTCGCAATTGCAGGGTATCAATTGTTTATAATTGATTAGCCTCTGTATTTCTTGCGGTGTATATCAATCTTAATATATTTACTTTTTATTTTTCTTTAATCTATCAAGGGAAAAAACAGGCGCAATGTTTAAAGAATTAACCTTTATATTACTCCCTTTCGTCAATAAATTTTATTTTTATTTATTCTTAAATTTATATAATGTTTCAGACATTGCAAAAATCATGAATATATTAGACTTATGTTCACATTCAATTATATTAAAATACATTTCAATTTATACCCAATACTCAATTTGACATATATTTAGAACTCATCATAGAGAATGTCAGAGTCGCATACTGTTTGGCATAGGCATTCTCACTTTTAAAAAATCTATCTTTTGCCATTTATTTGCATACTAATGAGCAGTGTGTGGGCATTCGGTGTGTGTGCGCGAACACTGAGTTGCAGTTCGTGCGGCGGCTTTTCTGGTAGCCACAGTTTGAAAAATGGCAGCTGGAAGGAGTCGTAAAAACCAGCAAATCGAACAACGTGTCAGTTTTCTTGCACTATTGCATCTTATGAAATATAATATATAGTAGAAACTTAAAGCATTTCTAAAGCAAGTGTTGGGTCATTAAAGTCGGCTGACTATTTACAATCATATAAAAAACGGAAGTCTTGTGATTAGTTTTTTGGAATTCAATTATTTACTCAGATATAAAATGTGCCGGGCTGTTTTATATCAAAACTTGTCTGTAGGCTCATGAGTTTTTTTTCAAATTGTAGGGGAGAATTCCTGAAATATTTTTCAACTGATATTCTCATTAATTAGATTAAGTTCCTTTATAAGTATTCAATTTTTTAATACATATTACTAACATAGTTAATTTCCTATAAGCTAGTAATATTCGAAGTAGCTGCTTTGGCTTGAAAAACAATTCTTAGAATAAAGTGCTATTTTCTGTTAGATTAAAGGCATAGAACTTTATATTTACCGCAGAAAGCATAAACCTCAATCCCCAAAACACGTTTAAATTAAATTCTAATTTCTTTGCGCGCCCATAACTTTTGACATTAACCTTAGCCTTAATGTTATTGCTGCTTGCAATTGAAGCTCAGTTGATTTTATTTATTGGGCTGTTAGTTTTGCAGCAAATTGATGGCATATTTACTTAGAAGATTAACAAGAGGTAAACGCATGAGAGTATTAAAATAAATCCCATTACATGGACTCAGGCGCATTATGAATGAACGGGCGATTCGTATGCAGCACACGTAGCGGAGGAGCGCTTTAATCGGTACCAGAGAGATCTGTGGCATATGCCCAATAAATCTAATTTTCGGGTATACCGAAATGAACCAATTGCCCACTAATTTTAGGCGCGTTTTCTCGGCCATGCGACGTGTGAGATGCCCGACCCCGATGACGATTGTGATTACGATTTGACCAAAGAAAGAATATCAGACGCACGTAGTATTTGAGTCAAAACAAATTGCTTCATTCATGCCACGGCCAGGGGCACGCACAATTTGAGCATATGCTGGGCATTAGCTGCCCTACCCATCTACTGCTCTTGGCCATCTAATCAGGGGACTATCAAATCTGTACAGGAATTCCCCGAACTTTTGCCTAGTCCGTTGTGGATTGTGAAGATTTTTAAGTACAAACTACTTGAGTAGCATTTTAATTGTTGTTCGTGGAAGCAATTACCCTCGAGGGGGATACATAAAAACTTTGGTGTGACATTTTGTTGGAATGAATTTAATGAATTTAAATTATGACAGCTGCGCCCTCAGCCACAAATATTTTATGGCTTTTAAATGCTGAAATAAATTGGACTTAAGAAACGCCAAACGGAAATGCAAAGAAACCGAAAATGAAGTCGAGTTATACTGTTAAATATGAGATGTCGAAGATTAAATACCCTAACTAAAGGCAGTTAGAAGAAATATTAGACTGCTCTATGTTAAAATGCATCTAAAATATAAATTCATTAACTGAGAAATAAGTTTGTAAGATTTAAAAGAATTAAATAAAAAACTTAAATATATGATTCTCAATTTTAGGAAAAATCTTGTGCTCTCGGAGGTTTCTTTGTGCGCTTTCTTCAAGTAGGCAAATTCTTGTTATAAAAACTGAGTCACTGCAATTATATTTTTTAATATTCAATATCAATTTGGTAAGCTCATTGATCATTTTATAAAACACCTTTTATAGGGTATACGAGAAGACCAAAAATGATTTCGAGTTATTCCAGCAACAAACCCATTAAATTGTGTGATTTGCTTTGTGTGGAAGTCAAATACGTTTCTTTTAGAGCCCAAGAAGAAGGTCTTTTTTTTTCTTTGCTGTATGATTTAAGCCCAGACTTGGCGTTGGAGTTACAGTTCTTGTTGCCTAATCCTTTAAGTTATTGATGCATTCGGTTCGACGCATTGATGAAATTTTATTTATTTATACTCGTAGTCTCGTAACCCTTTGTTCGCGCTGGTCAGGGAGTTACAATTGCCAGCCACAGTTCTTTGCTTTTTGTTGCTGCCGTTTTATGGGCTGCTCGAGGCTAATCCCGCAGGAGCTGCAGCTGCGATCGTAGCTGATCTTTGGGTTTTTTTGTGTTTAATAGATGAGGGATTTGCTTGTTCGGTTGCGCGTCTCAATGTTGATGTCTTATATAACACGAGTGTTACTTTTGACACTTTTATTGCCAAGCCCTAGACCAGACGCGGCACTCAACACAAAGGAATCGAATTCGGAATCGTACATCGGCAGCAGCATCTCAAATGAGCCTGGCGAGCCTAATAAGCGCTGGGGAATTGAACGCTCTAAAGTGGTAATTAAAGTGGCCAGCATTGTGAAAGGCTCAGGCCTAGGCCTTGTTATGTCTCAATCTAGCAATGCCTCAGCTGCATTCAGCACCAGCCTCAGCCTCAGCCTAAGCCAGAGCCTATCTGCCATCAGCAATATGATAAACTTAATGCAACTATAAGTCCAACCGGTTGCCAGCGTTGCCAATCTTATTCTGTTTTCTTTTCAGCTTTTTAATTTTTTTTGGCTTTAACGTTGACAAGTTTGGCTCATTCGGCTGGCAAATTAACACCTCAAACGGACGCGTCGTCCGAATGGTGCCAAAGTCATTTGCCATTAGATGTCCGATTCTTGGACTTGTTGACAGGCGCGAATTGCATTTGACGTTGCCAATTGCAATTCCTCTTCAAAGTTGTTGCTAATGCTGTTTGCTAATGTTGTTGCAGTTGTTGCCTTTGCAGTGAGGCGTATTTCCGCTTTTTGTGGCTAATTTGAGGCGCTTGAGTGGCGCTGCTTAATAGAGTGCAGCTGATTTGCTAATTGCAAGTCGTCTTACTTAGCTTTGACAGAATCAGTTGGTCAGTTATCGTATCGATCGATTAAGTATCGAAAATGTTTTCATCAGTTTCATTCAGACAGCTTAGCCTTAACCTTATGTAGAGCAGGAGAAAATAAACTAAGAAACAAACATTGTTAAATGCAAATTTTGAAGCATGTACATGTTTAAAAACTCATATTATCTATTAATATAATAAAGATTTTCATAATAAAAAAAAAAAAAATCAGTTTCATTCGAGATTAAATAACATAATGTAGTCTAGTTGTTTATCAATTCAATTAAGTAAAGACATATTTTAAAGCATCTGAAATTGATGCGGATTAGTTAATTTGATTGATTAATTATTGAGTACTGTGTTTACCCAACGAAATTTGCCTGATATTTATTAGATAAACATTAACAGCTAATTAAAGCGTTCAAAAATATGAATAATTACATCTCAAAACTAAAATCGTGCTATATAAAAAATAACAAAAATATACTTTAAATATTCTCTAATAAGGCGCTCCTAAATATATAGTTAAAAATATATTTTTTATATATTCCGCATTAAATTTGTATAAAATGGAATTGCACTATTTTCTTTCAGCATTAAACTTGCCAAATATTTCATAAATTTTCCAAACTTTATTATTTTTGGAGAAAAAAATAACATTGCCATCGATAAGGGAGAACGGAAAAACAAAAATTTAAAAGTTAATTAAAAACTCATCAGATAAATGATAACTGGAGCCCAGTGGCCAGTGCCTGGGCCCGGGCATTATTATGACGGCAAGACGACGAACATCATATCTAGTGAGCTGCAGCGGCAAAGAGCTGGCCCATTGGCCAGTTAACGTATTCATAACTATATTTATCAGCCATCAAAAATCAATTGCACACACAAAAAGAGCGTAAAGCTGCGGCTGCAATGGACCGGTATCTGGTCTCAGTGGGTCTTCATCCTGGCTTTCCGAGCTTTCCAGCTACCTCGCTTCCCCTTACTTCGGTCTGTGAGGCGTTCAAATTGCGCTTGTTAACATTTTTGACCGCCTGCTGGGGGCCTCACAGTGCAGTCGACGTCGCTGTCGCCGTCGACGTCGCCGAAAAAGCCAACAAACCGAACGTGTTACGCATAATAATTTTCGCAGTGCGTCCAACATTCGTATAAATATTTCAACGGTTCGGTGGATGTGCCCGCTGCTGCTGCTGGTGGAGCTGGTGGTGCTGGTGGTGCTGGTGGTGGTGCGTTGACTGCTGCTGTGGTTCATCATCAAATACATACAGTTTATCTTGGAGCCGCATCGCTCACGCTCAGTTCCGAGAGCAAGAGACAACAAACAGGCTGATAAGACAAATACACTTAGAGAAATTCTGGTGATATGAAAACTTGAATCTTCAAAAGTATTGGGTAAGTATTGGATTATAGTTAAATTGCCTGAGCATAAATCAGGACTATGCTTTAAAATTGAATACAGACCAAAAATTGAAAGTCAATTTTAGTTTATGGAAATCAACTTTTCCTAAAATTTACTTAAAACTATTATCTTTTTTGAATATTTCCCCTATCGCTGTTATATGATACAAAATAATAAACTTCTTGCTTGTATTTATTATAATTTATTTATTTATATTCTATATTATTATCAGTTTTAAACCGACCCATTAATTTCTCTTAGTGCATTATATGATAGGTAGATGGAGCTGCCATGTTGTCGCTGTCGTATGTCGCTGTCTTTTATTGAAATAACAGAAATCATAATGTTTATGCCATTAAATTGTTAACAAAGCATACAAGCTACTGCCATGTTGTGTCGGGTAGGAGGAATAACCGGGATACCAGGATGCCGGGTATGATGGGTACGTTGGATAGCTGGAACTGTGACTGAGACCCCTTTTTGGATGCCGGGTCCCGCATGTCAGCACGCACATAAATTATCGTTGATATATATTTGGCCGTGTGAATGTCCAGGTTAACAGAGAGCGCGAGAGAGAGGGAAACTTTCTCGTACTCTTATTTATTTATTTACACTGGGCGCATTGCACAACGCTCGCTACGTGACATTCACGCTTGGACGTCCGCCGTTGTCGGGCATCCCGAGCAGCTCCATACAGACGTGACCCCGTCAGAAAACCCCAGGGCAAGCGGTCACATCTCATTCACTCACTATCGCAATTGCTATCTATGAGCTCCGGCTGCTGTGTATCTTTTCACTTTGCTACGCGCCTTATCTGCAGCCTCTTATCGGCTCGTGGGATATTTTCTTAATATTTCTCTGTTGAGTATTCTCTCCTCTTCTTGACCGAATTATTTCCTGTAATTGCGAGCGTGCGGCCGCCCCGAAAGAGCCGTAAAAAATAATCAAATGCTTCCTGGCTCTAAAACCCATTTCAAGCCATTTCAAGCCAATTCGGGCCATTTCACTCAAAAAAAGGATGCGTGCTGCACTATGAGAATGAATTGGACCAAAACTGCTTGAGTATTTTATTTTATATTTCTTCCTGGGGTGCGGGCCGGGTTTATGGTTTAACTTGGCCAACAACACGGTCACACTTCCAATTTTATTTATGACTTTATCTTTTACTTTGTTTGTGCGAGATTTTCGTTGTTGGATGTTTTTGTGCTTTCCTGGGAATTTCACTGAGATTCTTTTCTCCTTATACTCTTCTTCTTCTTCTTGTACATGTTCTGTGCGGTCGCATTTTTGTTGTTGTGGCTGCTTGGGTCTTAATCACGTGCACTGGTTCGCGGTAATTATACCTCCGAGTGTCTTTAGAATGTGACTAAACTTAATTTTGGAATTTTGAATTTGATGCAAGAGACAGAAGAGAGATATGTCATGTAGAGATGAATAAACTGAGAGATAGTTAAATTGTATAGCTCATGTGGTTAAGTTTTGAGAGCTATTCATGAGAGCTATATGTGGCATTTATGATTTAATAGAATTATAGGACTTAGGCCAGAGTTTTGTTTTATTTTATTTAGCTATGAATAATAAAATGATGTGGTATTAAAGAGATGTGATTTTTGTGAATAATTCCTTTAAAGGACTTTATTTTAGACTAAAAAAAAACGTTGAAAATAATATAAGCATCAGTTTTTTAACTTTTACTAGCATCCAAATATCTGTTTTAATTCATTAAAACAATTTACAATTTAAATCATATAGGCATATCAAGTTAAGAATTGTTCAAATAATTCTTTAATAAAATTGAGCTTGGGCAATTTATGAAAGAGATATTCATTATTATTTGGGCTTTGAAAGATATTTCCAAATGATAAACGCTGAAAAAATTCCACAAAAAATTAGTGCCTTTTCGTGTAAGAAATTAAAATTAAATAAGTATAGCCCAACGGCCCGATGTTATCTCTTTTGTTATATTTTCAGTTGTCTGCCGCTAAATGCGTCAATCAAAAGTCAAACAAAATATCACTAAAATTTGATTAGCACAATTAAATGATTACATGCCACAAAGCGTGGCAATTATGCCACAAAGAATAGAACAGGTGCGTGAGTTAGTTAGGGGGGGAACGGGAAATGGAGCAGTTGCAACCAGAAACCAAGTTGCGGCATTTTGTTTGACATTGACCCACGCAACGTTTTGAGGCATTTCTTAAAACCACAATCATAAAAACCACAAATGAACAACATTAGTTACATTTACCGAAAATAATTAACAAATTAAATGAACAATTGCCCCAAGAAGAAGAATAACTGAAAGAAATATAAAGTAATTGGAGCGCTTGGCGAATGCAAAGCAAAGTGTAAATAATATAACGAATATGTGTCTTTAAGAACTGTAAACTTAGAACTGAGGCTGCGTAAATTGCTTGGGTAAACCAAACAGACGCTAATTGAGGTTAGGCCGAGGGTTTACATAACCTAATTGTTATATAAGACGGTCAACTATATGAAACTTGTGAAAATCTCTTCATTTTGGTGTGGCTGGAAACCAGAAAAATTGTTACAGGTACAACAATAATAACAATAAACACGCACTTGTCAAAATATATACAAAAAAAAAAGATGATAAAATTTCAGTAGTGACTAGAAGATGCCCTGTACGGAGCATAAAGTGCCCTGAAATTCTATAAAATAAATCAATCATATTTAAATTGAAGATAGATAATTATTGTTATTTATCGATTATGATTAAAGAGACCCATCAAAAGTGAAGCCAAAATCAAATATATCGTTTAATATAAGACTTTTGTTATAATTTTATACACACTCCCACAAATTAAATTGAAAATCGATATTCATCGATATTAACCATAAGGTGGAATTCGTGGAAAGGGAAACACAATATAATTGACTGAATTGAAATGTTCTTCAACAGTTAAAATGCTCCATGCAATAGAAACTACAGGATATCGAAAGATGAGTGAGCGTTGCATTCGGACAGCCTTTACCTGTGACACGGGCCTGCTTTATGGCTTTATCTATCGAAATATGTAGAACCTGTTCGGCGCGCTGCGATGCGGCGTTACCTGTGCGCAGTATTTGCGGCTTTGATCGATAATCGCGGCCCACGCAAAAGGTGTCTCGTCACGCTAAGCCCTAATGGCATTACAATGCGTTCCAAACTACTTAAAACCGGGCAGCCGGGCCCAGAATATTTGCGGTCTGGACAAACAACAAACCGCGATGCGAATGAGCTGTTTTATGGAATACGACTGAGATAGAAGGTTGAGGATTTGTGCAGCTGCGTCTGCCTCACCTCCGCCTGCCTGGCAACAGTTCGCTTATCCTTTAATGGGCTTTTGTCCGACTGTCACTGGGACATGGCGTTGAGCAAATCCTTTCAAGTGCAACCGAGCTGCATCCGATTAGAACAGGTTCGTCTTTGTCTTGTCAGCGAAATAAAGCCGCGTTTTTCTCTCCCTCTACCTTCAGCCCTCTCTCTCACTCTATTTGTTTCTCTATCTCTCTTGTTTGCGCAAAGTTTCGCTGGAATTTTTGGTTATTTGTAAGCTGCGAGTCAAAAAATATGAAAATCGCATCAGCTGCTAATCGCATTGACTGTAAACTTGTCTAAGCCGCTTGTTGTTTTTAACTTTGCAATTAAAAATCCCTCTGAAAATGCACTTTACACACGTTAAAATGTTTCTCTTTCGTGGAAAAACTGTCATTGGGTTATTACAGATACTACGATAACAACTTGTCACAATTTCTGACAGGTTGAAAGATGTTTCAGTTGCTGTTGCGAGTTTGTTTTCCCCGCTTCTTTGTTGCGTTTCTAATGAAGAAATTATCTATAATGATAGGAGGAAAAATGCATGCGTTCATTTCATAATTTTTCACTATGAAAATGATATAATTGCTGCAAGATAAAAATCAAATTATATGAAAACTGAAACCCGCTGCTCGAAAACGAAAAGGGGTACCCAAATAATGGGCACGTACAATGACGTATTAGTTTATGATAAGCATATGAAATATTTGATGGATTTATTATGCCACAACTCATATCAAGTGTGAAACACTCAAACGCGAACCCCCTTCAAAATTGTGAGCCTGTGTGCCTGTGTGTCTGTTCAGGATATGTCACTCAGCACTGGGCACAGGTGCAATAACTGAATTTTCCCGAAATAATGTGTGGTATGCGCGCGATATAGGATTTAGGGTTGAATAGGGACTGTAGCGAGATATACGCTAAAGAAATAAATAAATATAGATATATCTAGGTTTAATTGGGAATTTTGATTGTATATATATCTGGGGCTTATTGCCTTCGTAAGACACATGAATTACTTTCTCATGATTATAGCTTAAAACTACTACTACTTATTTCTCCAATGTAAGGACGAAGGCACAGCGGAAACTATGGGTCACTACTTTTATTCCCATTTGGCTTACAGAAGCCAACCTAAATGCTATCCTTGCTGTACATAAAAATATGCCCAAGCAGATTGATTTTTTTTTTTGAAAAAATAGATAGATACTAAAATATTTTAACGGAAAAAGCTTATCAAAATGATTAATATTTGATTTGAATGAAACTCTAAAAGTATTATAAAATTATTTAAAATAAATGATCTATTTATGCTGATCAAGGTAAATGAAAGGAAGCTTAGCTTAAATTATGCTGGCTTTCTGACCCTTTGGGAGTCGTGTTTAACCGAAGGCCAATTGTCCTATTAAAGTTAAAAGCTATCAACTAATTTTCTAAGTATTCCTCGGTACTCCACCTCTCGAATCTAAGACAATCGTTAATAAAACACATGGGAAATTTGCTGTGGGAAAAGGGTATTTAAAATATGTATACATAATCGAATCTGGAGCAAGCTGGTTGTTCTACATTCTAGACGAAAAGAAAAAGCTAAGAAACATTTATGTTTTCTAAATTTCTAAGAATTTCTAAGAGAACCGTCTCTTGTTTTCAGCTGTTACAACATTACAAAACATT